AATCCTTCGGGGGTACTTTCGGTAACTTTCGACCACTACTGTTTTACTACTTCGGCTTGCGTCAATCTTCATATAAACTTATCATAACCGGCATCGAACACGCGCTGTCGTAATCACTTAATGAAAACCTTTACCAACTTGTGAATACTATAAAATTAATGAAAACTCTCGCAATCCTTCGGGATACTTTCGGTAACTTGCGACCACTATCTTTTACTACTTTGGCTTGCTGATTACTTCGAACGCGCGCTCGCGAACACTTAACAAACAATACTAAAACAATTGAACGAATGACAAGTCATTGCTTTCTACGACCAATTAGCAGAGACCTTACGAGCAGCCCCTGCACTACTCACTTAAATGCCACTCACTTAACCTCCTGTGTCATAATTTCGTGTGACCCGTATATCTAAAAAGGGCCTCTAGCTGTCGCCATTCTGCAAACCAAATTTATATCGACTTTTTTAATGCTGTATCTTCTTTTTAACACTGTATTTACATGACCTCTTTTACGCTCTTGTTAAATTTCTGTCGACATTGTTAATCATTTTATAATTTTTTTATGTAAAGATGCTTTAGTGACCTTTATTTGCATTCAAAAAATGCTTTCGATCGCGCAATTCCGTAGACTTGCAAACATGCATCAACTTCGTTAACTTAGTGTTAGCCGATCTTGTTATCTTTCATTCTCGATTCTCAACAGTCGTCTTGGTTTCTGGAGCTCGCATGAATGTGGTTATCTCAAAATCATTCATAGTTTTGTTACGATTGCAGTGGCAAAAGATATTAATTAAATAAACTCTGTGCTCAATACTAGTTTAATCTTAGTTGTGACAGTGGTGATGTAATTTCTACTGGTGTTTGTTTTAAAAATAAAATATGTGCATTGCTGAAATCATATACACATTAAAACTTAGTTTAAGAACTTCTGTTTGCGGGTATAGATTTGCTTTAATTTGTGTTTAATGTGAATGAGATTTGGTTAATCTATATAACGTTATACATAATAAGCCTAATATGCTGATGAAGGATAAGCCACATAAAGAATGTGGAATAGTGTGTTGTAAGCTATTGATTCTATAAATTTATATTAAGGGACCGGTCATTATTTATCACCTGGGGGGGGGGGGG